GGGCCATTCTTGGTAAAGGAGAGAGAGCAGTTAACTGTCGATCTTAATTGTCAGTAGTCATTTGGTCGGGGCATTGCCATGGGGATGCAGCAGAGTTTGGCTGTCTCCATGACCTCTTTTTTTCACAACAAAAGGCATGCATTGCTTTTTTTCTCATAGCCAAGGAAAATGTTTTATTAGCCTCAACCCCACAAAGGCTCTTAATTTTTTTCAATCAGATCACCTCACTCTTTCAAACCAATTTAGATTAGATTTAGATTTATTGTCACATATATATATAAGAAATAAAGTGAAAGGTGTCCTTCGTATGTTATACGCAGTGTTGCTAAACTCTGGTGCCATCTTGAAAGACTGAATATATTGCAAGATTTTACTGCAGTAGACACAAAAACAAAGTTGCTGGAAAAGCTCAGCAGGTCTGGCAGCATCTGTGGAGGAGAAAACACAGTTAACGTTTCGGGTCCAGTGACCCTTCCTCAGAACCAGTAGAGTTACTGCAGTAGAGTTCATCTTTCTCTCTTTTTGTTCCTCGTCTGCTGCTCCTCCAGTCACTGCTTGACATCAGCCAGGGTCTCTGTGATGGGGTGCGGGGTCTTGGTTAGGCCTCTGCCGCTGCCACTCCCACAACTGCCGAGTCCAAGCTGCAGCCATAGGCCTGGGGATGTGCAGCTTCTGTCCCTCCCGTTCCCTGTCCGACACTCCTCCAGATGCTGCCGCCGCCGCTCATCAGTCTTCAGGGTCCTCCGCCATCCCTTTCACCGACATTTCCGCTCCTTCGGGCGCCCGGGCCTAGCTGCGGAGCTGGATCCTTGGCTCAGCCTGTGAGTCCAGGCCAGGGGGAGTCAGCCCAGGACCTGCTTCTGGCTCACTGGGAGACCCCGGGCTCGGATGAAGCCTTATCCTGGTATTGCTGTTGCTTCCTCCTTCACCCATCACTCTCCAGGCTTTAAATAAAACGAAAAGAGCAAAGGCAAAACAAAGAAAGAAAAGAGAAAGAAAGCAGGTGGGAGCAGCCAAGGCCCGGGCTCAGCCCTGCTACTCTGTCCCCATGTCGGCCTGGTCATTGGAGAGGCTGCAGGAAAGACTCACAAGAACGGGCTCAGAGGAAGGGGAACCTGATTTAAAAGGTGGCTTGGAGAAGTTAGCAGAGTTTTCTGTGGAGAAGGTTGAGAGGAGATCAGACGGAGGTCCACATAATGATGAGTGGCCCGGACAGAGTAGACAGGGAGAAACTGTTCTTGCTCTTGAAACTGTTCTCACTCTTCCTATGACTTAATAGGAAGTAAAAGTGACATGAGGGGATTAAAAAAAACTTTTTCATGCAGTGAGTGGTTAAAGTGAGCAAGGACAAAGTGCAGCCGTGAGTTGGCATTAAGTTGACATGGAGCTATAAAGTACTGGGGGAGTGGGTGGGGGTATCATACATTGGCATGGAGGGTATAAGGGTCACAGGGAAAGTGTGGATGGTGGTTATGTAGTTGCCTGGTTTGGCATCACTATATTGAAAAAAAAAACACTTTTACAACCCTTCCACTGAATAATGTCTTGTACCAATGATGATTCCAAGATGTGGGGGTGGTAGAGTTGCAGATAAAGAGGGGGGGGTGGGGGGCAGCGGAACGGTGGTGATAGGTGGACACTGGTAGTAGGTATGACCTGGTTGGTCGATGGGAAGGATGAATCCAGTTGGTTGCTGGAAGGGAGGGTCAGTAGGTGGAATGGAAAGGAGAAGGTGGGGCTGGAAAGGAAGCCTGGGGATGGGTGGCAAGGTTATTTGAAATTGGGGAACTCAATGTTGAGTCCTCCAGGCTGTATGGTGTCTTGGCGCTTCCAAGATAAGGTGTTGGCCCTCAAATTTGCATTCTGAATCACTGCGACAGAGAGGAGGCCGAAGACGGACATGTGAGAGGGGGATTGGTTGTGGGATGGGGTGCAGAGTTGAAATGAGTGGTGACCAGGAGGTTAGGTTGGCCGTTACGGGCCAGGCGGAGATGCTCGGTGAAGTAGTCACCCAGTCTACATTTGGTCTTACTTATGTGGAGAAGACCACATCAGGAACACCGTTACAGGGGAAGGTACCAGGCAGGTTGGAGTGATTGGTGGGGAATGTGGCGCGAAGTAAGGAGTGGTGAAGGGAATGGTCCTTGCAGAAGGCAGACAGGGATGGGGAGTGGAAGATGTTCCAGGCGGTGGGGTCTAATTAGAGTTGGCAGAAGTGTTTGAGGATGATATGTTGGATGCGGAGGCTGGTGGGGTGGAAAGTGAGGACAAGGGGGATTCTATCTATATTATGTTTGGGGGGGGGGGTGTTCGTTTCGAGCTGTGGAGCAGGGAATGGAGGAGGCATGGTGGAGGGCTGTCTGGATGACAGTGGGCGGGGCGGAGGGGGAAAAGAGCGACATTTGAAAACAGGTGGATATCCAGGATGCTTGGGAATGGAACATCTCGTCATCAAAGATATGTGACAGAGACGGAGAAATTGGGAAAACGGGACGGAGTTTTTGCATAGTACAGGGTGAGAGGAGGTGTTTGTAAACATTCCCAATATTTCTTATAAGATAGAATGGTACAGTACAGCAACGGGTCCTTCAGCCCACGATGTTGTGCTGAATATGACGCCAATTAAACTAATCCCTTCTGCCTGTCCCTGATCCATATCGCTCCATCCCTTGCATATTCATGTGCTTGTCTAAAAGTCTCTTACACGCCCCTATGGTATCTGCCTCCACCACCACCCCTTGGCAGCGTGTTTTCCTACCACTCACAGAGTAAAAAAACTTGCCCCTCATATCAGCTTTGAACTTTCCCGTCTTACTTTAAATATATGCCATTAAACATTTTAATTCTGGGAAAAAGATTCTGACCATCAACCCTATCTAAGCCCCTCATAATTTTATGGACTTTCATCAAGTTTCTCCTCAGCCTCCGCTGCTCCAGAGAAAACAACCCGAGTTTTTCTAGCCTCTCCTTATAGCTCATACCCTCTAATCCAGACAGCATCCTGGTAAACCTATTCTGCACCCTCTCCAAAGCCTCCACATCCTTCCTGTAATGTGGCGACCAGAACTGAACACCAATGATTTAAAGGGCAGCGCATTATTTTAAACAGCCTTGAAAGTTTCACACTTCTGACTGGGTCTCCTTGTGTGGTATTTCCGATGATTTTGATTGTTGACCTGAACAGGTCAGTTGACAAAGATTTTGAGAGTAATGAGTTTATACACTTTTTATGCATATTTATGCCTACATTTAACAATTCCAAAAGATGCTTTATCTCCCTCAAGAGGCATCTGATTTCCAGCAAAGTTGTCCTGGAGCCAGATCCAAAGGGGTACTTTAACATTCCAAAAGGGTACCCTGGATTACCAAAATCCTACTTCAGTGGAGGAAGCTGTTTCCATTTTGTTTAATTCATTCACGGGATGAGGGCATCGCTGCCTTGGCCAGCATTTTATTGCCCATCCGTAACTGCCCATAAGAATCAACCACATTGCTGTGGGTCTGGATTCACATGTAGGTCAGACCAGGTAAGGATGGAAGATTTCCTTCCCTATTTGGACATTAGTGAACCAGATGGGTGTTGCCTCCAACAATTGGCAATGGCTCATTGTTGGCCTCTTATTTTCCAGATTTTTATTGAATTCAAATTCCACCATCTACTGTAGCAGGATTTGAACCCAGGTCTGCAGAACAACACCTGGGTCTCTGGATTAACAGTCTAGCAATAAAACCACTAGGCTATCACCTCCCTATCCCTCCTCTATGGCCCAGAAGCACACAAATTCCAACCCAACCCCGTAAGTGCCATATTCAGGGTTGGACTTGCAATTTCTGGGCCAACAGTTTGCCAGGAGAGAGAGAGAGAAGCTCACCATTATGGAAAAAAACTCCAGGCCAACATTTCTGCCACATCCAGGCACACTGTGTTGGGACAGTGTATGTAGAGACATGCCTGAATGGTGAGCTATTGACCTGACCTGGGTTGCCAGCCAACAAAGTACAGAAAGAACGTGCAACGACCTGAGTAAATTCCAGGACACCGTTCCTTACTTAATTCTCCCAGCTGACTTGACCTGTGAATTAGGTTGTAGCAAATCGAATCGTAATCATATGAACTAGGAGTAGAATCATGGCAAATAGCCCCTCAAGCCTACTCCACCATTCAGTAAGATCGTGCTTGATCTGATTGCTTCACATTCCAGCCTACTCTGAGTAACCTTTCACCCCCTTACTAATCAGGACTCTGTCTACCTCTGCGTTAAAAATGTTCAAATACTCTTATTCCAGTGTTGGAAGTGTTGGATTAGGACTGTGTGGAGTGAGCTTTACTTTCAGTTTAAAGGAGTCAAGGGAGCTTCACTCTATGTCCGATCTCATGCTGTACCTGTCCTGGGAGTGCAGTTTAAATGAGTTGAGAAGCTTTACTCTGTATTTGATATGTCATAACTTCCCTGGGAGTGTTTGATGGGGACACTGGAGAGGTAGCTTTTTTTCTTTCAATTTAAAAGGGTAGGGATGGTTAACTCTGTATCTAAGCCTGTGCGAGACCTGTTCTTTGATGTTTGATGGAAACAGTGTACATTGGAGTTTACTATATATCTAGTTCCATGCTGTACCCGTCCTGGTTGTGTTTGATGGGGACACTGTAGGGTGAGCTTTATTTTCAGTTTAAAAGAGTAGGAGGAGCTTTACTCTGTATCTAACTCTATGCTGCCCCTGTCCTGGGACTTTTTGATGGGCATAGTGTAGAGGCAACTTTACTTTCAGTTTAAAAGAGTTGGGGATGGTTTACTCTGTATCTAAACCTGTGCTACACCTGTTCTTTGATGGGGAGAGTATAGAAGATTTACTCTGTCTAAATCAGAAGGAGCTAGGTTGCAGCTGTCCCGTTATTTTGGGAAGGGGTAGTTGGAGATGCTCAATCAAAGTGACTCACCTCCTCCTCTTGATGAAATTGGAATCCCTCAGCAACAATGTGAATAAAAAGACAGGGCAACATGTAAAAAAGAAGAACAATAATTTATTTATTTTACAATTTTTATTGTTTTCTATTGAACACGGAGCAGCAAATGAGGCATGCTTTTCCTACCCGCTATCAGTGACCACCCTCCCCAAGCCCAGAGTCACTCTGGCATCTACCTGGATTTCACACCCAGATTCGCCGTCTCATTGAGTGTCTCTAGGACTTTCTTCTGCGCCATTACCCTGCGGAGGTGAAGCTTGTAGTCCTCCATCAAGAGGTCATCGTAACGTTGCACTGCCATGTACATTTTCTTAATGACCAGTCCAGAATTGAGGAACAAACTTCTCGTTTGGAAATCTGAAATATTTATCAGCCACCTGAAATCAGGGAAAGAAGGGCTTTAATTTCCATACAGAGTTTCTTGAGGGCATTCCAGAGTGCTTTGCAGGCAATTGGGTGCTTTTTGAAGTGTGGGCAGTGCTGTAACGTAGGAAATGCACATTCAATTTGTGCATTTTAGCTCCCACAATCAGCAACTTAGTCATGATGTGGTCATTAGTTTTGGTGGTCTTCGAATGTTCTCCTCTAATGTCTTCTGGCATTCCTGTGTCTGGAAACTGACCGATATCCCTGCTTCTGAAGTGTCCAGCAGGAAAACGCAGTGTGGAATGCTGTCAATGGATTTTGAGACTTTGCCTCAGGGGTGAGGGGGTTCAGAAATCCACACTGTGTGGAGGAGAACAATCAGTCCAGTTGGTGAATTACTGGCAGACAAGTGCCTTACCGCCAAGAGGTAGCCTCACTGAAGGAGCTGTGGCTTTGCCTGACTCAGCAAACTTCCTATTCCAGAAAGGCTGAACGGGTTAGGCCCAAATCCACTGGAGTTTACAAGAATGAGAGGACATCTCATGAGAGTCCAAAGATGTGCAGGGTAGGTGGATTAGCCATGGGAAATGTAGGGTTATAGGGATAGGGTAGGGGTGTGGGTCTGGGTGGGATGCTCTTCAGAGGGTTGGTGTGGAACCAATGGGCTGAATGGCCTGCTTCCACACTGTAGGGATTCTATGATTCTATCTTATTGAAACATGTAAGAGGGAACTGTATAGGATGGATATCAGAGGATGTTTCCACTTGTGGGGGAGACTGAAAAAAAAGGGCACAGTTTAAGAGATGAGAATTCCCTTTTCTTAGAGCATGGTCTGAAAGTTGAATTCTCTTCCCCAGAAAGTCATGAAGTCTGGATCTTTAATTTTTATAAACACTGAGATTTTTGATTGACAAGGGAATTGAAGTTTTGTTTTATTTCATCACAGGATGTGGACATCACTAACTGGACATATCCTTAATAACCCAGAGAGTCTGGAGTCACATGTTGGCCAGACCAGGTAAAGACGGCAGATTTCTTTCCCTAAAGGACATTAGTGACCCAGATGGGGTTTTACAACAATCAACACTGGTCATCACTGGGCTAGCTTTTTATTCCAAATTTTTTTTTAAAATTATCAAATTCAAATTTCAACCTCTGCCACAGTTGGATTCAAACTCGTGTCATCTTAACATTGACCTGGGGTTCTGGGTTACTAATCCAGTGACATTACCACCAGGTCACCACCTCCATCTCATAGGGGAGGAGGTGGGGGGGGCAGACAGGCAAGTGAAGTTGAGACCAGAACCTGATCTCATTGAATGGGGCTTGTGGGGTGCAGGTGTGGGAATTAGAAGCAGGATGGAAGGGCTGAATGGCCAACTTTGGCTCCTACATGACGAGACATCCAGGTTTGTGTCACCTTGTAGCCACGGTGTTAAACACCCTCAAATACCAGTACAGAATACATCCCAGTGAGGAGCAGGTCCTACATCCTTTTCTCTAATTTGTAGCTGAGAAGAAGTATCTTAAAGAGCTGACCTGTTGCTGACAGAACTGCCCTTTGCAATCAGTAAGAGGCTTTTTCTTCCAGCTGTGAGCTAAGAGACTTCACCATAAAAATGCACTTGACCTGGGTGGGTAGGGGTGGGATTGGCATTTGCTTGAGGGGCTACTTTACAAAACTTTGTACAGTCTGTCCAGTGATTTATTTTAAACTGACCCGTCAGATCCTATAGGTATTCTTTAATCAACCTGTTCAGAGATTTAGTACACAGCTGTGAAGAAAGTGGGATTTTAACTCAGGCCTCCTGGCTCAGAGATAGGGGCACTACCATTGCACCACAAGACCTCTCTATCAGAATCTGTAGTTGAAATTAAATGGAAGCTGCTGTTCTTCATCATGTGTTAAGGTGAAAAGTCTGATACCAACTAACAGAATGCAGAGCAGAAACTCAAACTGGGATCTTGCTTTTTTGTTTTAACAGGAGAGCAGCTGGTATATCTGATTAAGCTTTTATCCCAGGACAGACAGGGAATGGGTCAAGAAAAGGGCCATTTGTGAACTGAATGGGAGGTCATTCCTCCTTTGGAGATAGGGAATTGTAGATGGAATGGGGAGCGGAGCTGGGGGCAATAGTGTCACTCCTGAGCTCCAGTCACCCTTCACTACCCACTCTAAGTGGCCTGCACAGTAAGTATAACCTTCTCCTTCCACGATCCACACTCCACCACATCCCCAACAAACTGACTATCTGGCCATTCAACCACTGAGACTTTGTGGTCCTGCGCAATTGTCCTTCTGCAGGTGCCCTCAGAGTGCCATCGCTTCCCCGTTTCTCATATGAGAGCCATGCCTGTGGTGGGCTAAGGGCAGCCTCACCCACCACCCTTCCCAACTCACAAAACCCACCCTCACCCACTCCCTAGCCTCCACCCCGTTCAAACCGGAGCATCATGCTGACACCCGAGCTGCTTTGAAAAGGTGTCAGATGGTGGCAGTGGCATCCGCCCTCACCCCGCCACCCCTCACCCCCCCTCCCCTCCCCCCCCCACCCCTCACCCCACAACCCTCACCCCACCTCCCCTCACCCCACCACCCCTCACCCGAGCCTTGTCCTCATAGCTTACCTGTTCTTCAGGCCCGACGAGCCACAGATGACATTCACGTTTTCGAACTGGATGCTGGTGATTTTCCCAAGTGCAAAGGCATTGGGAAGGATGCTCTCTGCCGCTGTCATGATGTCCTGGTGTGTGAGGTCCAAGTCAGGCTGGAAGGAACAAGGTGCACAATGAGCAGTTTCCAGTGGTTGCCATCTCCTGCTTGGCCATATTTTGCCATGTAACTCTCCCATCATTGGGCGGCCCGACCATCCAATTGGAGACCCAACAGATTTTCTGTTCCCTGATTGAATGATTTTTGACCTTGGATCACAAAAAGTCTCTTTATCCACTTTCAATAATTGTATGAATAGAATAGAAAATAAACACTTTTTTATTGGCCCTTTTTGCAAGTTGGGCTTCTGGGAGGCTGCCCTCCGACCCATGGCTTCCTCAGGGGCAGCCCTGGGAAATTAACAACGTGAGATGGCCCGGGGCACTTGAGACGTGTCAAGTCCCACCTTCCCAACAGTGAAGACTGCTGTTGCCAAACAATCCTGGAGGATACACCTTGATTTGGGAGGGAGCAGTCCAGACTCAGAGGCAGAAAGTTGTGTGTTCAAGACCCATGGCAGAGAACTGAGCACTGAATCCTGCACTGAGGAAATGCTGCACTGTCAGAGATGCCAGCTTTCAAACAAAACAGTATACTGTGGCCTCAGGTAGTTCTAAAAAATTCCTCTGACATTATGCAAAGCAGGGGAGTTATTCCAAGCATCCTAAAACAGATACTTATCCTTCAAACCACATCACCCAAAAAAAGAAATCGAAGATCTGGTCATTATCTCATGGCTGTTTGTGGGACTTGCTGTGAGCAAATTGACTGTCATGTTTCCTCCATTGTAGCGGTGCTTGACACTTCAGTGATGTATTTCACTGGTCGTAAGATATTCTGAGATTGTGAAAGACGCTACATCATAGTTTTCGTTCGTGCCTCATAAATAAAGGTAAGCAACTGGACATAAGCAGTGTACCAACACCATACTGATGCAGGGTGAACTGGCACCCGGCTTATCTGAGGCACAGACTCCACCCAGGGTAATACAGTTGACATCAGCAACCTGGCCGGGACAGTGCTGAGAACAGGTTGGGGGAGGCAATTGGCTCGGGTTTCCATTCCCAGCTAGCCCTTTGTGCCTCCAGTCCACGTGGAGGAAGCAGTGGAGAGGCAAAAGGTGAATGCCCCTCACCACCCCAGTTCCCCATGGCCAAATAGCTCATGCCACTCACTGGCTGAGATCATGTAGGTGTGGATGGGGTGCCAGGGAGTGCTAGCACCCGTGAATCTGTGGCCCAACATGATTCCAGGACAGAAGGGAAAAGTGAAACAAGGGCAGGCAGCAAATTAATCTATTTCGTGGAAAGCATCTGGGCAGTGCAAGCAGAATTAATGTTTCGAGTCAGTGACCCTTGTTAAGAAACGTTAACTCTGCTTTCTCCCCACAGATACTGCCAGACCTGGTGAGTTTCTCCAGTAATCCCTGTTTTTGTTTCAGATTTCCAGCATCCAACAGCTCTTTGTTTTATAGTGATCTGGTTTTGTGACTGCTTTATTCTTCTGAATTATGAGTGTGAATAGTCAGCAAAGCACAAACTACATCCACATTTCCACCTCTCCCCTAATGATAGGAATTCCACAGATAATTAGCACTTAAAATGGCAATTAACTCTCATCACCCTGACTGTTTACTCATAGCAGTGGGTGTGTTGTACTTTAATCACTGGCTGAGGGGATTCCCAGAGGTGACTTCCTGAAATGTTGATACAACTGAACTGAGTGCCCTAAGCTAGGACACTCTGTAGGGTTTCCAACTCTACTCTTCTAAACTGAAAGTAAAGCACCCTCTACTCTTTTAAACTGCAAGTAACATTCCCTCAACACTATCCCCATCAAACACTCCCAGGACAGGTACACTGCAGGGCTAGCCACAGAGTAAAGCTCTCTCTACTCTTTTTAAACTGAAAGTAAACTAAAAGTAAAGCTCCTTCTATGTTTTTAATCTGAAAGTAAAGGAGACTCTACACTGTCCCCATCCAATACTTCAGGAAAGGGACAGCACAGGGTTAAATAGTGAAAATCCCTCTACACCTTCCCCATCAAACCCTCCCATGACAGGTGGGGCATGGGGTTAGGTACAAAATAAAGTGCCCTCTACTCTTTTAAACCAAAAGCATAGCTGCGTCTACCCTATCCCCATCAACCCACTGAGTTGCCAACTCTAACCACACCGATTCCTGGAAATTTCATCACGTGACCTCCAATCCCTGCCAAACTCCCTTAACCCAAACAATCCACACCTGAAGAAGGACTGAGGCTCCAAAAGCTTGTGTTTTCAATTAACCCGTTAGACTATACCCTGGTGTTGTGAGATTTCTGACTTTGTCCACCTCAGTCCAACACCGGCACCTCCATATCATCCCACAATCCTGTCATTGGCCGCTCAATATGTCCCTTATCTTCATGCCTGCCTTCCCATTCAGCTCATCAGAAAGTGAACCACAACCTGATTGGTTGACACTTGACTGTCAATCAACCCCTCTATATCTTTCCACTTAGCTTCCAATAATTATAGCACTCAACAGACAGCAATCACAAAGAAAATTAAACTAAAAGCACATTTTCAAATCGCGGTTTATAAAACTGCTGGCAAAATTCAACTGAGATTGGTCTTGAATCTTGCTGGAAAGAGCTACAACTTTCTGAAGCTAAAACAGAAATTGCTGGAGCAAGTCAGCAGGTTTGGCAGCATCTGTGGAGAGAGAGAAACAGAGTTAAATGAAGTTCTGAAGAAGGGTCACTGAATCGGAAACGTTAACTCTGTTTCTCTCTCCACATATACTGCCGGACGTGCTGAGTTTCTCCAGTAATTTCTGTTTTCGTTTCAGTTTTCCAGCATCGTCAGGATTTCATTTTATGTTTCTGCATCTTTTTGCCTTGAGCTCGATCAGGACAGATGCAAGAATGCAACATTTCAAAAGAGCTCAACCATTCACAGGGCATGAGTAAAGTTTGTTGATTGGTTGACAAATCGACTCTGGTTGGGCGAGGCGTTAACGTGGAGCAAATTCCTATAATTCTGTCCTTAAAACTTTAGTATCACAAAACACAAATCCCCATTGGTGTGTGTGAGCCACCTCTGATGTGTGTCATTCTCAGTGCCACAAATAACAAAGTAGGAACATTGCCCCCCGCGACAGCGAAAGCAAGTAGAAAACTTGCTTTAAATGGTTCCAGTGTGGAGGAGATATTTTTGCTTCAGGTTTTAGGCTGGGGTTGCCAGAGATGTATCCCGTGGAGAAAAGGAGATTGAGGAGAAATTTAATCGAGGTGTACAAGATTAAGGCAGGTTTAAATAAGTTAGATAAAGCAATGATCTGAGAGAGGTAGATTCTTGATCATCTTATGGGAAAAGAGCTCCAGGTCATGACCATTCACTGTAGGGGAATCTAGCATTATAGGGAAATTACAGGAATATAGACGGGAGGAATATAGATGGGAGGAATGTGGATGGGAGGAATGTCAGATTAGCCATGATTCTGTTGAATGGAGGAGCAGGCTTGAGGAGCCAAACAGCCTACTCCCATTTCTACTTCTAATGGTCTTAAAAACTATTGCAATAACAATTTTAAAGTGTTCAGCCGAGGCAGGAGGAATGTGAGGCAGGTTGGAGCAACCTTTCCACAAGGATGGTTGAAACGAGATGGGATGGGAAATGAGGAGAAAATAAACCGTAAGGTCACAGGACAGAGCACTGATCTTCTGTGGATGGGTTCTGAAGGTTCCTGCCAGACAGAGAGGGAAGGAAAGGAGGAAAAGGAAAACACAATTTTAGAGAAACATACGGAGGAGGAGGAAGCGACAAAATGAAGGGCCGGTGACTTTGTGATGCAAGAAGGAGTCACGAGGTCCCTGAAGACCAGAGTAACTTAGAGAGGATTGAGCATTTACCGGGCATTCCACACAGATGGTCAATGGCTGCGATTGAGGCGTATCCTGAAACTTTCGAATTCCTGGCATTTCCGTATCCAGAGATTCGTATTTGGAAATGAATTGCTTCAAGTGTTTCTTCCTATTGTAAACACCACAAAATACAAGATTGTAAAATGGTGTTTAACAAAGTTCAGCACTCTAACGGGAATTTCTCTGTATCTGGTCTCTCTCTCAGGGAAGTATCAGTACTCTAATTGGAGTTTCTCAGTCCACCCTCTCTCTCTCAGGGAGATATCAGTATGCTGACCAGTATCTCAGTCTCTCTGAGTCCAGGAAATATCTGTACACTGTCTAATGTCTCTCAGTTCCCGCTCTCTCATGAAGATATCTGTACACTGACTGGTGTCTCTCAGTCATCTCTCTGAATCCGGG